TCAGACAGGGGGATAAAGAAAGAAAGTTATCATTGGAAATTAGCCCAATGTGTGATCGTGAGTCAGTAGAAGTTGAGAAATCTCAGGTCGGTTATTAATTCTTGTGTGTACAATTTTTTCGTGTTTTTAACCGTGTAAATGAACAATAATAAATTTGTTTTACAAGGGCAATGACATTAATAGTTTGATAGTTAACTCACAACGTAGCTTTTGTCCTCTATGATCACGAATTCAAATCCTACTCCACCTAACTCCAACAAGATAACTGGGTAATATCACTAGCTTTCACTCCTGTAGTACTTCCCATAGACCGATATGTTTATTTATACTCCGCAAATGAGTTCTAGTCAATTTTTATGTAGAAATATTTTCCTTCTAACGAAAAGCATATCAATATTTGATACTCATAAGTAATACTATAAGTTCTGAATATTTATGGCAGCTATTACTGAAAACTACATAAATTGTTTTTTATTAACATCAACTTGTAAAGAAGAATATTATCTGGTTTTAATGTTTGTTATTTTAAGAATACTTTGTGCTACTCTCCTTGTCCAACAATATGACTGATCTCTCATCACTAACGAATTATGATTGTGTAGTTTCTATGTTAATTTTTTTAGTAAACTATTACATCACATTGAAAACTTGATTGTTTTTCCGAAAATAATAACATTATGTACAGTAAATTGTCTTAGTTACATAGATAGTACTGTTAACAGTGTTATTTGGAACACCTTTATGGATTATTTCTATGTTTAGTAAATTATTATTACAACCCATTAAAATTTCCGACATAACTGATAGTGTAGGTGTAAATATTCAGTGCAATAGATAATGACAATTATTTTTCCCCTTTACGGGTTAAGTGCTCATGTACTTCTCTTTGAGCCGCAGTGTTTATACAAAAATTAGTAATAAAACTACCTAGCTGCTCAAACAGATTACGTGGGAACAAGGTTTGAACCAGGAACCTATTTGTTAAAAATGAGCCATTTCCTTACCGACTAGAATAACATAATCAAATGTGATGTCATTTTGTGGAGTGGCAATCATGGAGGTTTTTTCTAGTTCAAACTATCAACCAAGTGGACTACCAACTTCTTTTCAGAAGAGAAAAGTGTTAATTTACAGGCTAATAATTGTGTCTATACTGTTATCGTTAATAATTAGCTTTCTAGCAGTGAAAATGAAGGAGAACTAGTGTCAAGAACAACTGATTCGTCCGATTGCAGTTGACAGAAGACTGACTAAGTGGAAAATATCAGAAATGCCCAGAACTATTTTAACAGGAACAACGGTATCATTTTCAAACGCCCAAATTCAAATAAATAATATTTCCAAACGTTACAAGTCAGGTGCCAGATACCTACATTTTATAAAGTTTAATTTTAACAAAGAAGCTTCGTCATACCTTTCACCATATCACTTTGCAATCTGCAATACAATGATCCAGATCAACAACCAAGTAATTATGGCTACTCACGATTGTCAGGACAAAGATTAACAACTTTACAATCATTTTGTCTTCAAATGGAGTTTATTAATAGTACATTCCCATGATTTGGTTAGAGATCAAAAAGCTAACAGTTCCCTAATGATTGACAAATCTATATCCGTTGGTTCATATTTTCGATTTCGTATAGTTTTTGATATAGAGCAGAGATCATCTAATATCATTCGTGTCAAGTCTCTCACACCTGATGTAGTTTAATTTTATTTTTATAACGTCCTGAACATCACAAGCTCATTTCTAAATTAGTTACTAATTAACATATGATTATAGTTTGCTTTGAAAGTTATATAAGTTTTGTCTAATTTTCGTGTGATTTTCGTCACGGATTGACAACTGTTGAAGTATTATTTATCAGCAATGAAACTTCATATTTATCTAGATAACCAATGTGCTTTAGTCAGTTAATCAGAACGATTATCTAGTAACAATGTTTTACTGAATGAACAAAAAAATGTCATAAAACAAAATAGAAATATTTTTAACTTCTTAGTTATGAAGTACAACTCAGAAACAATAAGAAGTTTCAGTTAATATAAATAGCCAGTGGTAAACATAACAATATCGAACTATTTTGGGTTAGTTTCTGTGTTTCATGAATGAAACGTTGTCAAACTGACAAAATAACACTATTTCTAAGACTTAATACAATGCAATAAAATGATGTTGTGGTATGCGCTCCTTATGCGGACAGACATATGTACTATATAGCAGGAATTGGGAGTGGAATGCTTACCAGCAGAAGATATTATGTTAAGAGAAGAGGAAGGAAAACAGTTAGCAAACGGAATAACAAGAGGATTAGATGAATGATGAAGTATGTAAAGCACAACTGAAAGATGTTTAAATGATATATTTAATGTTTGATTTTCATAATTTACAAAGGCGCTGTGTAATTTTGCATTAAAACAGAAATTAGTTTGCCTCACCAAGTCTTCATTCTCTACAAAATGAATCACGAGACTACAGTTAGTGTTTTTTAAGCCTAAGCTATTTAAATGGAATATGCGTAATAGCCACTGCATTTATAATTATTTAAAATAATTGAATTCCAATATAAAAACTAATTAATGATATACATATTTTCAATGAAATTGATTTAATACAATCATTTAACATTTTTCAACACTACTCGATTTATTGTATAATTCCAATCGAAATCATAAACCAATCAATAATAAACCACCACCTGAAAGCACTAGACAGTCGTTTTGTCTTAGTATAGGACTCCTCAGCAATGTGTACTCATACTAGAACAAAACAACCATCTAGAACTTCCAGGTTTTCAATGGTGGCCTAACATTGATCGGTTCATGATCGCAATTAAAACTCAACAATCTCCACAATCCCATAGTGATAATATAGTATTTGTTGCATCTTAATCACCAAACAAACAATGGATAGATATTTGATTTACAATCTATAAATAATTTCAAGTTCATTCTGAACTCTACACCGAACTATTATGAAACTCTTTGTTCAAGTTCTAGTGAAAATCTTAACAAAGTTCCACTTTATGTGTTACCATAATTTCCTCCTTTAAAACCTTTTTTACAATATCTATCCTATTTTCCTATTTTTAGGTTAGTTTCATTGATTTTGTGTGTCACCCATTATGGGAAACATGGTGTGATCTAGTACACCCCTGTGCTCAGTTAATTTTAGATACATTAGAAGATAATCGTGACTGGTATGAATGTCATACAAAAGAATCCAAAATAAAAGTTACTCAGTTAGCTCGACCAAAATTAGCTACTGCCGCAGAAGATGATGAAGAAATTTCTACAACTTCAGGAAATACATAAGTTTTATTAGTCAATAATTATTGAGAAAAAGATGAGCGGGAAGGGGGCAGATGAAATTAAATATAGGATGGCAAATAATATACAAAAATAATGTAAATATTCAAATAATATATCTTTTAACAATCTACATTACACTAATATCCACCCAACCAAAATGAAATAAGTATAATTGCCAAATATATTT